ACACAATAAATAAAGAAAACATAGAAATTCTCCATACCTTCAATAAAGGAAGGAAGATAAATTTGTTGAAAGCATTGGAAATAAATAAATTGTATAAAAACCCCCAATTTCAAAACCCTCAATGACCAACTAGAACTATGCATCTCTGCCCTTTTGAATTTGTGAATTTTGATAACTAATTTAGGATCCATTGGTAGTTGGAGAAATGTACAAGTAGGTTTTTGGGTCGATAGTTCGTAATTTTAATATGTTATAAAAGTTAAATAGTTATTGTTTTAGGATTGGTATTGATAATTCAGGTAACATTTGTTATTTTGCAGGTACATTGACTGTATCATTGTATATTTAAGGACTCGTTTGTCAATATACAGTTTATTTTAAAATGGTTTAATAAACCGAAACCGGTCGTAACAATTAAAAAAACTTAATTAATAGAAATCAGACAAAAGTAAGTATTCGTTCATTGACCATGCTAGAGCAATAAGTGAGTGAATTTGACAAACTGTTCAGTTGGACCATGTGCGATGACTGTAGTCATAATTATGGATCATGGAAGAGAACAGGAAAGGCTTATGTGGCTTCTTGAGGAAGTCCAACCAGAAGTTGGGTACGTTGATGAAGACAATTCAGGAGCGGAAGATAACATTGAAGAAATATCAGAAGGAAGGTGAACATATGAAGAAGTTGAGGAATTATAAATTGGTTGAGGAATATATTCCAGTCGTAGACCCTACTTTATTGGAAAAGTCCAAATGGGCCAAACATAGAGGACCTCGAATTGAAAATAATGTTTTGCAACGTCAAGGATCGAACGCATGTGCTAGAGATATAATCAATATCCAAGATATTTGGAATAATTGTTCAAATGATACAAACACAAAAATTCTAACACATTTGGCCATACACGAGACGTATTTTCTACAAACATCAAAATGAGTGCACTGATAGGCCTTTTGTGCCTGGCAGGTGTGAGAAAAGCAGTCATTTGAACAAACTCGATTTATGGATAACGAAAGGCCCTGTTATAGAGGTGTTTCGCTTTACAATTGTCAGTATTGGGTACTCATTGAGAGTAGCTAATCCTGATCGGCGTATTTCAGACGAATTAGCCATCATCTACTATTTTCTGTATCACAAAATCTATTTCTAAACATGAGAGTGGTCGTGGTAGTAGTTTTTTGCAAACACTAAAATAGTTGATATAATTCTGCTTATAACACATAATATTTGTTAATCTTGAGGCTGTACGGAGTTAGCCGGTTCAGCTACAGTTGAATATTGAATTTTTAGTTCAGTTTTAGTGCGTTCGAGAATATTGTTTGAGAATTTGATTGATATCTGTCAAAATTTGTATGACGTCATATTTTACCTTCTTTTAAAAGCAATAAACGATTGCAATTCACATATTTTTTTATTTAACACAACTTTTTCCAAATCATCGCACCTTTTTTATATCCCTTTTCAGTCACTTATTGCCGAGTTTCCTGAAATTAGAATGAAATTCCATAATTTGTCAGGTGCACACAATTCACTTCTTATAAATTGCATTAGGTTTCATTATTCGAAAATACGTTCCTTTTAGAATTCGGAGGTAAGGTTAGATGTTGAGGATAGGTACATAGTTTTTTCAAATTCTAAAGTAAGGTTAGAGTGAGTTAGGTTAGGTCGGGTTAGGTTAGGTTAAGTAAGCATGTGACGAATTATGGAATACTTGGCAATAAGTTAATGCAAAGAGATAGAAAAAAGAAGTGCGATGATATAGAAAAAGATGTGTTGAATAAAAAATAGGTGAATTGCAATCGTTCATTGCGAAAAAAAAAAGGTAAAATATGACACCATATAAACTTTTACAGGCTGTATCTCGTGTTCTGAATTCCTACCATCACTTAGTATCATAACAGAAAAAATCGCGAAAATCCGTGAGTATCCCATAAATTAAAATTTTTCCCTCTTTTCTACTACAGCCTCAGAAAGAGCGTAGCCCTGGGCGGTTGCCCTGCTCTCCACCCCTTAAAGCAGCTACTTAAGGGATGTAAACATTCCACTTGTGGATTTAGCTTTTCTGCGTAATTTTACGTCCCACATGTACTCATAATCTACAACCATGATGCGATTCTTACTTTCTATGAGCGTGCACCGAATGCTCACTTTTAAACGTTCCGTGTTCGAGCGGAGATTGCAGAGAGAAATGAAAGAAATGATATACCTCGCAATCCACAATCATAACATTGCACCGGTCTATTTACGGAAAAGAAATTGAAACGTGAAACCAGCGAGCATAACGAAAGGCCGTCGCCGCGCAGTATACTGAACTTGACTCGATTCTAATTTTTAGTTCGAATCGGCTATCTGCTTGCTCTAACCTAGTCCATTCGCTGAATTTCTACTACGCTTCCTGGTCGGACAGCGTGCTCGTCGTTCTATTGGATACGGACTTATAGGATACGGTATAAAACAGGATACATATTTTGATTAGTTTGCCAACTTCTTCAATTTCTAGATAAGGTTTTCTGTTGATTGTTAATAATGCAGTGTCTGGCCTTTGATAAAACAAAGTTTCATGGGAATTCTGGTGTTTTAACTGATTCGCTTTTGTTTTGTCAAAAATTATCTCCAAGATTGGCTCACACCAAGGCGTTTATCCACCCTTCCAAAATTGATACCAAACAGTTGTTGGACTACAGTAGGGATGAACTACGATGTCTAACAGACCTTCTTACAGGACACTGTAATTTGAATCATCATATGCAGAGACTCGGACTGCCAGAAGACAGTGTGTGTCGCCTCTGTTTGGAAAATGATGAAACAGCAGAGCATATACTTTGTGCCTGTCCCGCTGGGGACCGAATCAGGTTATTAGGTTTCGGCAAATCCGTACTCTTATACCATCTGACCTGAAAGACTACCCACCATACAAACTAATCGGCTTCGTTAAGAAGCTGGGTGTGAGCCACAGTAAACCCTTGCGGATTGCGGTGGAGGGTCGAATAGACCCATTCACTTTAGACCTAAACTAACCTACTATCAATTGAAGTGCCAACTTGACATTGACAAGCTACGTCCCTAAATTGTACTCAGCACCTCTGTGAATGGGATGCTGAAATTTATTGAAACTCGTAGGTCTAGAGTTTTTGACAAAATATTTCACATGGTGAAAGGGTCCTAGTGATCACACCAGATATATTCTATGCATCTTGGGTATAACAAATGAATAACAATCCGCACTTCGGATATGGCAAATCTGGAATTTCTCTTTCGGTGAAAAATTCTGCTTTGGAAATGATGTGGCAATATGTATCGTTTCATATAAACCAAATAAGTACCTGGAACTATTTACTGATAGGTATGTGGTATAGATAAGCCTCATCATCAGCTGACTTGAAAATATTTGACGGGGTTCTAAATATCCGAGTTTTCGTATTTCTAGAATTGAATCAATGTGACAAGGTAGGATGTCCAACAAGAGTTACACATTTATCAGCTACCAAAAATCGACGACATTTATACTAATTACGATAATTGTTCTAGTGGTACTTTTCTGTGAATATTGGTAAAACAGCAGGTTTATGCTGGAAAATGGAAACACCTTTATAAAACATATATTTTCACCTGATTGAAATAATTGAGTTTTTTCCATTAGAAAGATATGCGAAAGATATGATGAGTGAGTTGTTTTCAAAAGCAACTTTTAGATTGAGATGTGAAAATTAAGTCGAAATGCGTTTGCCATTGAAATGTTATAAGAACATTAAATTTGGAAGAAATACCATTTCATTGTTTCACAGTTCAACTCCAGTATTTTCATCAACATTCTGGCTACTCTGTTGGATTTAGTAGATTTTGGTTCATCACTATCCAGAATTTCATCAAAATCTGTTCATCAATGAAAAAGTTACAAATGAAAAAGTGTGAAAAACATATGGGAATGGTGTACCTATAATTGTTTCTCAACTTACAGCTTCTTCAAAGATTTTGCTAGGCAATAGATTACAATATTAAAACCGTAATGATCGATTTACCGGCCAGAAATGAGTAAAGGGTAGATCGATTCACTGAACAGAATGAAATAAAATAGTTTTATCGTACTCGAATTCTAAATTACAATAATCATAATAAGACTGAGAGATTATAGCGAAAGTAACCAACAATGAAAAATAATTCCAACATCATTGTTACATTTACTTAATTCGTATAATTTATATCATTTCACCAGAATTCAAAGTGAAAAGTTTCCAGATTTTCATGAGCCAGTCCAAACAGTACCTACCTATTTATTCAACCTTTTTTGTTGATATTCTTTTGAATCAACTGTATTCTGTCAAGTTATGGAATATGAATAATGTTTTCATTTCATGTTTCATTTATTTATTTTATATATGGAGGTATTTTAGGGTTGAGTTGAAAAAAAAACAGAGTAACACTTATTATTACCGAGTTGACCTTCGCCCTTCATATTTCAAAACAAGTACGATGCGATTGTGAAAAAAACAGTCTCTTTCCTGGAATTCCAAGTGTATTTTTCGACTTTTGAAAAGCATTTTCTGCGATAAATTTAGTTGCAAGTTTGGACCCGTACTAACCCACAAACATGGCAAGTTAAATTAAGCTTTCAATCTGATTCGAATTCAAAAACAAAGCCCATGTTACTCTATGACTGAAATTTTGAAAACGAGCAAATATTTTCTCTTTATAATATCAGCTTGCAGATCAGATTTAATTGACCGGACTATTTCCGTGAATGGCCAGTTAGATGAGACAAAAAAATGACATTCAAGCTTGCCCCGACCTTCGAAAAATCACCTCCGATCGGACAGACGCGCCGAAGAGTACCACCCACCAGGAAGCGAAATGTGTGTGTTTTGTTTACAACAATTTCTAACATAGACGAGAGAGATCATCTAATAGCTACCGACTACGCTAGGCTATGCCTAACCTAACTCAACTTTTCCAAGTCCGCGCATCGCGACACTATCATTTCACTTTCGGCCACGACGGTAGCCGAATGCGCTCACATCGGCCGAACGACGCGTCGCTTTACTCCTGCCTCCTATATGAGTCAGTGGGGCATTTCAGTCTGCATCGCTCCACGATTGAGGCTGGTTCATAGTGAGATATATTAGCGAACTTCAATACGCGCGAGAGTGTACTATTTTGCACGTAACAGTGACCGATGTTGACCGTCGATTGTTTCCTGCAATGATTATGATCAACCCCAGCAAGATGTCGATCATAGCCGACTTGCCCAACATCAAATCGATGGTATCCCCGAGGATCAAGGAAGAGTGCTGCGAGGACTATGTTAGTACTAGTGTTGATGAGGATGCTCCGCTCGACCTGAGGATTAACTGCAGCAGGATGAGTCCTGCTAGGGATTCCGGTACCGAAAGTGATGATACGGAAGAGAAGATGATGGTGGACGGAGGTGATTACAAGCCCTTCAAGAAGAGTCTGATTAAGAGATGTAAGTGAGGGTTCTAAAATATTTTTCGTTTGCGAAGTTTATTTTGTTTTTTTGATGATTATTTCTTGGCAGCTGTTGCAGAGTTTTATAGCGAATTAATGCTGTAGATCTGTTAAAATTTAAATCAAATTGAACATGAATCGGTGCTTATGTCAACATCAATATTTTTGACAGGTACCTAGTTATAATTTTTGGAGGTTAATAATTTCTAGATATTTCCCATCAGTACTAACACGGAAGGCTAAAGGAAGAAAGACTAGATTATCCCACTCCTGATTTCATCAAAGTATTTATTATTTAAAAAGAAGTTTGTTTCCTAACTTTTGTTATCTTGTATTCAACAGTGGGATATATACAGGACGATCCGAGTGACCGAGTCACTGACAATTAAGTATTCAAATACTACCTGTAATTTGATAATGACAATGAGAACTTCCTGAAAAAATGAGAATTAAGGAAACACAGAGTGGTTGAATATGAACAAAAATATAATTTTATTCTTCTACAAAGAAAGTGTATAAAATGTTTTTACAACATGTAAGCGAAGTCTGATAAGTTATTTGTTTTCAACGAGGTTTCTAACTGAGTAGTTAATGTGGGTATGGGTTGTGTGATTTATTCAGTTGTTTTTTTTAATGATTTCAGTTACGAACAATTTGTCACAAAGAAAGTCGTAGAAGTTTCATAATGTGGTCGTAAAAAATGTGTTTATATTATGTCACATGTTTAATTAATTGTATTTTGTTGGTCGTTATATGCATAGGTTCACATATAATAATCTCCTAACTTCGTCAGAAGGAATTTATTATATTTTAGACAATGTATCTATCTATTTTGAAAGTGTCAGTAAGTATTTATTTTGATTTTTTTCTGAAGCATCATTATTCCTATCAAGGTTTATAATTCTGTTGAAATATGCATTTTATGATGTTGTGTTGTTACATGATTTTCGAAGCTCAGGTTTCCATATATCTCCCAAAATCTTCCATTGTTGTTCTGTTTTTGTTATTGGCATCATCAACATCAAAGTAAAGTTGAGGAAATCTTTGTTAAACTTCACTGGACACCTGTCAAAGCCTTCCATTGTCGTAACTCCCACTCTTCGGAAGACTGATCCGCCTTTATAAAATATTTTGATTCTATTAAAGTAGAAAATGAATGATGAGGGTCCCAAATGACTACCTTATGGCACTCCAGAAGAACTTAGGAAAGACGTAGATTGGAATGTATATGTTTTTCTTTCGTAAATGTTTATTTCAATTACATAAAACATTACAATTATTTGACAGCCTATTTGTCTTATCGGCATCAATTTGTTCTCATTTTTGTTTAGGTGTTCCTTTGCCTTTCCCTTTTGATTTTTTTTTTCAAGATACCTTGAGGTATAAATGAGACATACATATTTATTGGATATTATTCAATATTCATCGTGATATTATCCCGGAAAATAGTTGTTTTCCGGCATTAGGAATCTTCTGTGTAGGTACGTTGTTTCGGAATTCAATTTCAAAATATTTATTTTCTCATTATACCTACTCGATTATATTCACGAATTCATTATGTTTTCAATATTTGTTCTTGTAACACCGCTTGAAACATTTCTTCAAAATTACCAGTTTTTCAGCATTAACTGACACAACTCGATATCATCATCGATCGATATGATCAATCCAGTATGAAATAGAAAGAACCACAGAAATATTTATGGGCCTCGACGAAAATATTATTTGCACAGATAGTTCTTGGTGTTTCATTAATATATTTCACTAAAACTAATGGTAATTTACTTATGTTGAGTGATTTGGATAGGTATAAAAAAATTTATGAGTAAAATAACAATTCTTCTTTTGGAAAAAATGCATATTTTATTCACGAACGATCGGAATACGAAAAATGTCAAACTTTTGACAAACATATTCAAAATATTATTTCAACAGTTCGAATTCTCCAAGACAAAGCATCTTCGAAAAAAATTCACTTTATACTTTTCAGAATACATTTATTTTGGGGACGTGAAAAAATTGCCTCACAAATTTATCAAATCGTGCCCGTCGTTATCTGCCTGATCTAAATAGCGGGATTAAATTACTTAAGATAAAACACATTTTGCGTAAGGAGCTATGCTTTACACTTGTTAGATACATCTGTGTAACCTCCGATGCGTTGTGCAAGGTCACAAAAATGATAAGAAGTTATCTAACGGAGTTGAGCGAATGTATGTAACATTTGCGCATGTTTTTTCAACAAACCAATTTCACTGTTTACCGTATTCACTGCCAAAAATAAGGATACTATTAATACAATGTAGCAAAATATTTACAACAAATGCCAACTTTCTGGCAATGATTCGAGCAGTATATTGGATAAAAGACAATTAAAATATGGGTGGATCTTGAGCGAGCAAAAATCAGGAAATGAAACCGGTTATTTTCGATGTATGTGGAAGTGCTGTCAGCTTCCTGACGTTTAGTTTTTTTATGTTAATCTTCAGTAATCGATAGTGGGTGCCTGACCTTATCCATCCTTATCGCTAGTCATATCCGGCATAAAAATTTTATTATGTATTTTATTACCAGATATTTCCTTTGCGTGAACAACATTCATTAATGTATGGTAATTCTGGAAATCACGAAAAACGGATACAAGAAAACATTTTGGTGATAGATAAGAAGTTTTACGGTGATTCAAGTTACATAAGATGAACGACCTGGTCTATTAAATTCATGTTTGTCAATGGTACTTTTCTATTGTAGATTCACTGTTCAAGAAAATATGGAAGAAATACCAAAAAACGTAACTGTTTCACTTGATTTTTTCTCATAGGCGTAGATAAGACGATCATCGACTACATAAGTGCTTGAATCAAAATAGCAACTTAAGGATTCATAGCAAGTAGGCCTTTTCCATACTTTATCTTTCCAATCTATTTTTCCTGATTTTTGGCCAGCGGAATGGTTAGGTATACTAAAATTTTTCAAATATTTTAAACTTACCATTTTCAAAAAACTGAATCATAACAATAGTTATTTTCTACCGTGTCACTTATACGCATAGAAAGCTTTGAGCTTTGCATTTGAAAGTTTAAATTTTTTATTCGGTTTTGAAACAAAAAAGAGTATAACTGTTCGTAATTTAGGTATAAAAAATAGTTCAAATGGATTTTCAATAAATTCTAGAGAAATAATGACAACTACCCGAAGTAACTTCAACCTTTTTCTTGAGCTCATACGAAAATGTGAAATTTTACATCAGATGATGATTTCAAGTAAAAAGATTTATAATTCAGATTATTCAAGGTTACCCGTCATTAAATTTATTTACAGATTAAAATACCATCCAAGACACGCACTAAAACATACCTAGCAAACAACCAATATCAAGACACCTGATATTGCAAGGTCAGATTTTGTTTAAAAATAATTTCCATGAACGGTATTCATCGGGAGAAAAAAAGCTCCCCCACAAAATTCACAAGCCACCGAATCGAAATCAAAATACCTCTAATGTTTTACTTCGTAGTAACATTGAATAATCATGTTTATTAAAACAATTCTACGAAAACATTCAATGACCGCATCAAGGCACGGTCGATTGACCAATTTCATAAAACAAATCGGAAAAACGTATACGTCCTTTACTTATACGGTATAACAACCACTGTTGCCTAACCAATTGAGTTGTTTCGCGAGAGGTTGGTGCCAAAAATCCGACTGCACGAAACTTAATTTGTTGAAAAAACCCCCTATACCTGAAAATCACTGTCGTCATTTAAATTAATAACTTTTCTGCCAGTCTTCTTCGGTAATATTCGATACTTCTTCTTTTACTAGCTCTATCACGTTCTTATAAAATTTTGGAAAATTATTTTTACGCCTGATGCTTTGTTTCAATTTTCCTCAAATTAACTCGATAGGGGGGAAATCTCAGTATGGATTGTCCATACATTTCAGCAATACTCTCAAAGGCATACACTTTTTCAATAATTTCAAAGAATTAGGAACCCATCCTTTACTTCCTCCGCAATGCACAATGATTATTCGCGATCTTTTGTTTGCAGGCATGTTAGGCGTACACATTCTCAAATAAAAATCCTAGAACAAATTGAAAAAATCGCTAGTATTTGTTATGTGCGAGTTATTTAGTAAAGTATCCAACCTGTGCAATATACGTCATGGTAGCAAACAATTCATTTGAAGAACCATGAAAAACTTAATTTTATGATCATTTTCTTTTTATGTATTCAAGATTTTTCTCTTCTTTTGTTATTTCTCAATTTGTGTATACCTGTTGAACATAAACATATCATTATTATTGTTCAAAAAACAGAAATTTTCATTTCTCTTTTCATTATGATCTCCTACCACGTAGTAACGGCTACATCCATCAATTTATTTAAAAAAAAAAGAGGTGCTGTTCTAGCCCTGTACTTGAAGCTCCGACCAATTCGGAAAGCTTTCCAGCATCGGTGAGCACACACGGGCAGCGCAACGTCAGAACACAGATAATAAACCGGAAAACAAAAAATAAATTGTTGGACCAAATGATATTTGATTTACTGTTTTTTCTTTCTCCTGTCTTTGTCACTTCTCTACGAAGCCATAATAATGCCATTTTTTCGGGAAAAATATATAGCATAGATCGATTGGTAAACATAAATGGAGAGGGGAATAGAAGGGGTGGTATGGTCAATCTGTTTGTGCCGCTCATTTGAGCTATCGAGGCAAAGTGGAAGGGTGAAAAATGCCTGGAAAGTTCGAAAAAAGCAGATAGTGCAACAAATACATGAAAGATACTGCAGCTTTTGTATTGGCAACTCTGATAACAACTCCAATCCTATACACTCCTAAAAAAATCAAATTCTGTGAATAGGGAACGCACATTTAGTATCGATCCACCGCGACCCTGACCTATACGGGGATTTGTAGGGGGCGGTACGTATAAAAACCCTGGAACCAGAAATGGCGCTGAGAAAGAGGGCCTTTTCAATGAACAAAAGAGTT